GAGATGTCAGGTAACCTATACTCACCTGTAAAGGGGCCAGGGATAATATCCAAAATATTGGAAAACTACAGCACTTGTCATAGGAGTAAATGACTCCAAAGTAAAGACAGATAGTAAAGGTGGTTGAGTAACAGTGATCTTCCAAATGCACATCTTATTCATCAACTGATATAGTTTTGTTTTTTTTTCTTTCGTAGCCGATACCAATTCCAGAGCAACCAATGGTCAATAAGATCTGATATTTTGGGGCAGACGTTTAGGGCAGATTTGGATTATTTTCCTCAAATTTTGTATTTACTACAAACTCATGCACAGCCCTTTTTACTAACCAAACCCATAAGAGGGCTGTGTATTGTATATGTATTAGTCTATATCAGTGTATATTAGGGTGTATCAAAATAGTTGTCTGTTATATTGGTCTACCAATACATCGGTCTATCTCTACGTCTTATAACGTTTCTAAAGATATTTTCAACTAGAGCTCATATCTATACATAGCTGTTCCTTGAAAATGCCTGATCTTATTTGATCTCGGAAGCTAAGCTAAGCATTGCTTGGACCTGTTTAGTACTGGGATGGGGGACCACTGGGAATACCAAGTGCAGTGGCTCTAGTGTGCAGACTGCCGTTGTGTTGCCTACATTTCACTCATCGTGCATATAGTATTGCTTGTTTATGTCAGTCTGCCCCAGGGCAGCTCGCCACAAAATATCTTACCACTACCAGGAGTAAAGTGAGTGAATAGTTCAGTCTTAAAAAGCACTGTATACATAGAATGTATTTCTACAAGTGAATCTTCTGTGTTCTACCTGTCTTTGATAGATGCTCCCCTTGGAATCAAATTCAGCCTCTAACTGTTTGTCAAATGTCTCTTTCACTTTGTCCTATCGTTTAATATCTGGAATTATGAATAATCATTTGTCTCTACAATATGCCATTCTGAGTGCTTTAAATATATAGTGCAATAGGCATTACTTTATGTAATTATGACAAAGCTCTCTTATCAACACCAACATTTGTCTCTTCCTATGCACATGCCACTATTTTTTTTTTTTCTTTTTCTTAAATTGTTATTTTAAGATGACAGAAAGTACATGTATAGATGTAGTAAACAACGTACTGTCTTCATTTAGAATTTTGAATGAGCCATTGGTTCATTGGAAAACATGTAAAGGTCATAGTTCAGAGCACATTAAATTCCACTTCTTTTGTCTATCTATGACACACACACATGGAGTGGTACCACCCCCTTTGCCTGAACAGTCCCGTTAGCTCTCCTCTCTTTGACTCAGTGCAGTGGCTCTCCGCAGATGTGTGCGCTCACCTCCTCCAGCTATGAAACAAAAAGGTACTCATATTTATTCCGTCATTTCTATACCATTAATACAACAGTGTCTATGAATTGCCAGTAACTTAGGAGGCTAATGTCTAGACTTTGCTGTCACTGGTTTTGGTTTTGCATCATGTGAGATAAACTTATGTTTATGTTTATGTGTCACCATTGTTGGCAGGCTTTAGAAAATATTACTTAAATTACTTAACAAATGCAATTTTTGTACTGAGATAGCATGCTTTTTGTACTTGAAAGAACATGGCTACTAACAACAATAGCCTTTGTAAATAAATAGGCAGACTATTTTAAAAGTAATTTGAGCAGATTGCTGTCGGCTGGATACTGTGCAGTACATTGCAGTAGAAATATGATATGCTGCAGTATAGGGACAAATAGACAACATTTGACAGACTCCTAAAGCACAGATGCACATTTCTATAGTAACTTTATCTCAGTGTTGTGGGATTAGCTGTACATCTTGTGTTGCTTTATATTTGTTGACTTTCTAAATCAATCTTTAGCTAATACTTAACACTGTATCAACTTAATAGAAGACTTTTTTAATATAAATTATAGTTTCATTTTGTCATCAAGGAACCACTCACCCATTCACACAAACATTCAGACACCAGTATATCCAGACACTGGGGGCGAGGTGGGTTGAGTGTCTTGCCCAAGGGCACAACAACAGCATTTATTTGTGGGAGCGGGAGCTAGAATCTCACTGCCAACCTGTGAGTCATTTGATCTGATACTAAGGAATAATAATACATAGAAATAAAACACTCTTTCTTTAGACAATAGATAGAATGTAATTTTCAACATGAACTCATATTGTATTCAAGAAAGGTTCATTTCTGTCCAGACTTTTTATTATATTCCTGCTCAAATGAGTTTCTAGTTTTGATACTAGTTTTAGCATTGATAAGTAGCTGATTTGTGATACATTTGACAACAGCGTTTAATCCTTGTATATACATTTCAGGTAGCATTATATTATCTGTGGCTAATAAATCAGCCTTTTTTGTTTCCACATGCTTGTTGTCATGGTAACAACTTGTCCACATTCCATAGGAGCCTGACTCAATTTTCGGGGAATTCATTCTTGTAAAGTTCAGTAAAAATAAGTCTGTCTCTCTTTTGTGGCTGGTTGTTGCGTATGTGCTTTGACAGAAAATAAATCTTTTGGTACGTGTGTAGAGAAAGGAGATAAAACTTAGGTGCTTGGTACTGTCTCCCACTGTCCATATCCAAACACAGAGGGGGGACACAGGGGGGCTCTGGACGTGCTACATTCTTTCCTTCTTGTCCTCTGCTAATCACATTCAGACTGTTTCAAGTGGCCTGTGATTAGATTGCAAAGGCATCTGCTGCTTCGTCTGCCTGGAGGATTTTAGTTTAAACTATCTGAAATATTTAAAGGTCCCGTATTTCACAAAATTTACTCCTGTAAGTTTTTAGCTATGTTAAAATGTTGTTATCTCCTAAAAACATATCTGGAGTTGTGCTTTGTTTAATTCACACATGTTTGAGTGATCTTGTATTATTTGTCTGTCTACATCTCCAAAGCGCTGTTCCACCTTGTGATGTCATGTAGTGGTAGTTTTTAAGTTAACAGGTACCTTTTACCTTTAGTACCTTCAGTAGAGTTAGGACAAAAGTTATTGAAATGATTCTAGTGAAGCTGTATGGAGTTTAAAAACACATTGGAGCACTTCCCGCATTACCACATGACATCACAAGGTGGAACAGATTGTTAACTGTTTGAGAGAAGAACTCTACGAAATATGCAAGATTTGTGTGTTAAACTTGAACAATGAAAAACAAAACAATGAAAAAAAACACAACTCCAATTATGTTTGTGAATATGGGCTCTTTAAAGTTCCCACCAAAAAACAAATCCAATATTGATGTAGATTTGTCATGTGATGTGCAGTGAAAAAAAGAACAAAGTATGGCTGTACATTATATTGAGTTATGTAAGACCTGGATGGACAAGCTGGTGTTTTGTCAGCCAACCCAATAAAGGAATAAAGCCTTTGAATTAAATGGCCCTTAAACTGTTTATAATGTGTAATGCCACAAACATTAACACTTAAAGAAGATTAAAATATTATTGCAAATAATATGAATTTGCAATGTTCTAAAACTGAGATTGCGTTGTTGCCTCCATGTAATTTTGTAGTTTTGATGATGAGAATGCACATATGTTTTCAAAGGAGAGATGCTAATAACAACTAATTCCTTCAAATGTTGTTCTGAGTAGAGATGAGTGATATATATTTTAGAAGATATACATGATAATTACAAATGTGTTTTTGAAGATATGCAAAATATTGAATATAAGGTTTATACTAGAAAAAATCAAAAAGAAAATATCACTAATCTGTGATATTTCTTCACAATTGTTTTAGATTTTACACACCAAGGCACACTTGTGTGATACTTGAATTGAATTGAAAATACACAAAGGTCACATTTTGCAAAAATATCATCTGAACATCATTATTGTGGGATCGTACCCCAATGAATATATGTGAACATGTGTCAGTATTACTCTCCTCTAGTGGGTTATTATTATCAAGTGATGATATTAACCATTGCCGGATAGAGTTTAGTGTGTCTTTATTATCCCAAAGGGAGAATTGCGTTTGCAGAAAATATTTTCTGTTCCTTTAGTGGACTCCTTTCCTAATCCATGGTGTGTCTCTGCAGTGATGCACAGTCAGGACGGCTGTAACCTGAACACGCCGATGGAGAAGAAGAACATCGAGTGTCACCGCTGTGGAGAGCCCTGCAAAGGACAGGTGCTGCGTGTCCAGAACAGACACTTCCACATCAAGTGCTTCACATGCAAAGGTCAGTCCAATGTCCTGTATTTACTTTAAAGGAGACAAAATCAACTTATATGAGCTTTTAACCATATTATAAGCTATTTTCTTTAATTATATCCAGATTCTTTAAACTATAATGGACAAAGAATTTCCATTTACACCAACCACCTATGTCCGCTCACAGCTCTGTACTCATGTGCAGTTCTTTGAAAAACTCCTGGTAATATACATAGGATTAATAAATGTTTTGCCATTTTCTAAAATAAAACCACCATAAATTAAATGCTTGCTATAGTGAATGAGACTGTGGAGAGACAGGGCCAGCAGCAGATTATTAGTTTCCTGGTTTTGAACAGAAAGTCAACATATCTTGTTTGCACTTGTCAAAAAAACTGTATTGACTGTAGACAATTATATTAAACATCCTTAGTAACAAAAAAAAGTTGATTTAGTGTTTAGTGTCAATTGAATTACAGATTTGAAGGAAATGTGCAAATAACATTTATTTTAAACATTATGTAACAGTGTGAGTTTTAAAGAGTTTGTTTTTTGCTGCCATCACAAAAGCAAATGTTGTGTACAAGCTCCTGTGCTGAGTAATTGGGAATGACAAGCCTCTCATGTCGTTGTCCTTTCATTTCAACTAAGCAGTGTTTACAGCCCACACGAACAAAAGGGTCTCTGAAAAGCTCCCAGAATGCACCACAATGAAACAAGTCTTTGGACCATACGTTATCATAATTAGATTTTAATGATATAATAATAAAGACTTAACATTTCTGACTGTATACAGAGCATTCTCCTATCTTATAGTTTGTACAAGAGTTGAAGATAATGCGTGAAATGCCATGTGGATTTGTGCAGCTCACAGTGAGCCCAGAATAGAGTGGTGGAGATGTGTCCTTGGCGTCTGGTTGCTGGTGGGATGGGGAGATAGTGACATGAAGGCATAGTCTTCACTGCGTGGATCACATGTCTCACAATGACAGAAACAACACTGCTGCCTTCATGACAGGGGGGTTATGTAAGGCTCCAGCATGGCAACAGTGGGTGCATGGTTAATTTTACCGAACGTGGTAAAAGTAAAAGTAACTTAATAACTTTGTTTTAGAACTTCCAGAGACTATTGTGTCAAGTTTTAGGGTACAGTATCAAAACTCAATACTGATTTGAAAGTGGTCCTGTATTATTATTTTTAGTGGTAAATTACAGTCTATTGTCTGTGGGTTTGGCTTGTTGGTTGGCTGTCTGTGACAAAATTTTGTTCATAGACAGATGTATGTGTAAGGTGAACAGGCCACAAGGTCTCTAAATAAACAGTCCATAGAAAGTGTATCGTTGTGTTTCTGTATGTTTGATGATCTGATAAATGATTAAACTTTTCTTGGATCTTGTCATTTATTTAAAAAAATAGTGAATCCTCCATAGAGTTAAATATGCTTTACCCTCCTTCAAATTCTACAATGTGAACACAACCTATTGCAAATGTACCAGTAAAAATCCCTTTTTTCCTGCAGTGTGCGGCTGTGACCTCTCTCAGTCTGGCTTCTTCCTAAAGAATGGGGACAGCCTGTGTCCTGTGGACTTCCGGCGTCTCCACGGCACCACCTGCACCAACTGTGGGGACTTTGTGGAGGGGGAGGTAGTCACCGTGCTGGGCAAGAGCTACCATCCCGCCTGCTTCGTCTGCACCATTTGCACGTAATAAACATTCAACTATTTTTATACTGTTGAAGTTTCTCCATCTAACTTAACTTTTAAATTTTATTTTATACATTTTTTTGCAGACAGCCCTTCCCTGCCGGAGATTGTGTCACATTCAGTGGAAAAGAGTGTATCTGCCAGAGATGCCTTCGACCTATGTCTCCTCCAAATAACAAGCCCAAACTCCCCAATAGTAGGTGTACCCTTACATCAGCACTTCCTTACTATTCAGGTATTTTTTTAGCAGGACTCATTGCATCAGCCACCCACAGTATCACTTGTCCCAGTAGATGCTCAGGAACTGCATATTATGTGGGCATTGTTCTAATAGGGATAGGGTCACAATATTATCTTATTTTTTGATTGTTGAATATTGACTAAACAAAAGTAAAATCTGTAAGTATGTGACCAGCATTATGGAGTATTCGTATTATTTGTAGATCATTATTGAGGACTTTATTCTCCATTCAGAAGGTATAATATATTTGTTTTAAAAATATGAATTGCTAGTATGCCAACGTTGCTGCATTTTATCACTCGAAAATCCATGAATAGTTTTGAATGATGAAATTACTAAGTAGTATAGTCTTGGTGGTTTTCAGAATCTTGAATGTGATGAAGTCATACTCTCAGATGGAGGCAAGAGCCAAATCTGTGTTCTAACAATATTAATTTTTGTTGCTCTCCCTCCGTTTTCAGTGCTTTTAGCCTACAGAATGTAGGCTAATTTGTCTCTGCCTTGCACTGTTTCTTCCCAACTCTGACTCAACAGATCCTACGGTTGCCCTCGAGGTCACAAAGTCATTGCTGTTTGAGAGAATGAACTTCAGTCTGACCCTAAGAGCCTGACATCGATAGTGACAGGCTGTAAACAGGATTATTAAGGATCCAGACGCAGCAGATTAAGATTAGCTCTCTGTTCAGAAATGGACCTCTGTAGAAAAGGTCCACTGGTGGAGAGTAACCCACATTGTAGAAATATTATGTACATTTTCTAAAGATATTTACTTTAAAGTTTAGAGTTCATTTGTATTTTCCCTACCACAGTCTGGTCAAATTATGAAATTGTCAAATAAATTGTGATTGCAGTAGGTAGTTCCACTGGTACCTACTTGGATCTATGAAAATTTCATTGCTTTACCCAGAATCTTCCATATTATAGCATTAAATGATATATTGTATTTGTTTTTTTGATTATAGGTGTTACTATTATTATAAAAACATGAATTCTTACTGTGCTACATTTAATGCCATACTGTACATTCATTCAGGTAAAGCAATGTCATCTCCATGGAGACAAGTGGGTAGCAGAAAAGTTATATTGCACTTTAAACACATACAAAGTTATTAGTACTGACGGAAATGAAACACAAAATGATGACAGTTTTCCAAGAGATGTTGTCAGTCTTTATATTTTAATTATTACATGCAGAGTAGAGCTTAAGATCAACATATTCACTGAGTAATAATAATTGCAATGTATTGTGTGTTGTCAGACTGCACTGGCTGTGGCAGAGACATAAAGAATGGCCAAGCGCTGGTGGCTTTAGGAAGACATTGGCACCTGGGCTGTTTTAAGTGTAAAGCTTGTAGCCAGGTCTTGAGCGGGGAATACATCAGCAAGTATGTACTATACTGATATAATTTACACCATAAGAAATATTTGAGAATTTTAAATATATGTATGTATTATTTTTTCAGGGATGGTGTTCCATATTGTGAGAAAGACTACCAGCTTCAGTATGGAGTCCAGTGTGAAGCATGTCAGAAATTCATCACGGGTAAAGTCCTTGAGGTACGTAGAAACACCAAACTCTAAAATGAGAATATTATGCTATGTTCATGACTATGTTGTTGATGCTTATTTCAAGTTTTAAGGTCACACAAAATATCTTTAGTGTGGAGTCAGTGTTACATAAACACTGTACAATGCCACGTTTCGGTTCGTTATCTCTTGCAGGCAGGAGACAAGCACTACCACCCCAGCTGTGCCAGGTGCTGTCGGTGTAACAAAATGTTCGCAGAAGGAGACGAAATGTATCTACAAGGTAAAAAAAGCTAGAAGATATTGTATGTGCTTAAAGAGCCATAAGACAAACCATTCTTTATGTGCTGGTACAGCTCTGTACTATAAGGCAGTTGAAGTTAACTGCCCTCATCTCCACAGGGTCATCTATTTGGCATCCAGATTGCAGACGGGGCAGCAGAAGTGAAGACAGTTCTATGGTGAGAATTTATTTCTCAATTATAAGAAAGACACAGTGCAGCAGCAAAGGAAAGTCCACTGTTGTGTTTGTGCCGTCTACAGCCCAGCAGCTCCAGAACACCCTGTCTCCATTATTTCTTCTCCCCACATCATCTTAAGGTTATTATTTTTGCGTCAGAGTGGCTTTTGTAGTGTGGGCTTAAGCAGCCTGTAATCTCAGATTAACCACAAACTTGCAAGTTTCACATGCAAGGTCTGGTGTGCCATTTTAAGGTCAAACTGAATTAGCCAAAGCAAGACTAAATATGGCTTTGGCTTTTGGTTGGGAGAATAACTGCACGCTTGTTCATGAGCATTCTACATTATAAAAGCTGATTACACGAGTTCTTTTGCAATGGTTTGGTGTGTTCCTTTTCTCACTTCCTTGTTAGTCACACAGTCTTGTGTATAGATCTACTTGAAAGTTTGTGTAGTGCACATTTACTTTTACACTTTTACTGATAAAGGATTTTTTTTGCAGAGGTCAACATGAAGAGAGTTTTCTAACCTGACAGTGAAAGTGTTTCTCTTCCTTATTCCAGCCCACACAGTCTTCCTCAGAGAGCTCCTGCTCCAGACCAGGCTCATGCACCCCTGGGAGCCCTGGGCGCTCCCTCTGTGTAAGTCCTCATCACATGGCCTTCTGCCTTCCCATGGCACCACTTTCACCAATCACTTCTGTCCTTTATTTACACAGGGCAGTCGCAGCGACAAAATCTCTATTTTGACTGATATTTCCTATTTACATTAAAAAAGTAACCAGAAGACCAAAAAGTGACCTTGACTGTTCGGAACTAGATCATTTGTGGTTGAAATATTCATATTCAGCCTTATCTTGAATATGAATGTATCCCTCAATTTGGATTTCAGATTGATTCTGGTCAAAGACAATGCTCAGTTGTCATTTACCTGTTTTCACCTTTTGATGTTTGCTGTGGAATGCACTTTATTCCCTGTAAAGGAGAATAGACACTGGCCAGTAATGTTCATAGGGCTGTTCTTAAATAGAAACTAATGATATTTGGATAGCCTGTGATATATCCTGTGAATTTTATCAAGTGGCAGATTATAATGTGTCCTTGTACATTTTGTTTCTTGTAATATAGATCATTTTCTTAACTTTTCCCCATGTAATTTCTATTCCTATAGTTTAAGTGGCCATGCTATAGGTCACACAATATAACATTACAACCTAATTACTCTGCATTACTTGATTTGTATAGTGCCAACCTTAGGTCAGTGTGGTGTTATGGGATTAAAGTTTCATTCCTCCCAGAACTTATGTAATATACACTACACCTGACCTTATGTGTCTGTGTTTCCTCTCCTCCATTCTCCCTCCTTCCCTCTTTCCTTCCCTCTCCTTCGCTTTCTATCCTTTGCTGGTCCTAGGCAAAAGTAGATAATGAGATCATTGATTACCGAGACTTAGCAGCAATTCCCAGAGTCAAGGCTATATATGATATAGAGCATCCTGATATGATTTCGTATAAGTGTTCGAACAACAACTCCTCTGGTTTGGACAACAAAGGCAGCGGACAACACAGTGTCAGCCCTGCCGAGGTAACTGCATCCACTACTGCACTACTGATGTGCACTGACTGTTGTGTAGACTTGGTTTGATTCTCACACAAACTAAGTCCTGTTTCATTGTTCTGGTCTAATGTCTCTAATGGCACTTTTCACCGTCACATATGCACTGGTGTAGAATTGTTTTATAATATTAAAGCCACAGTAGGCAAAGTTTAAACCTTTTTCATGGCTGTTGGTTCATTCGTTCATATGACATCACAGCATTTTGGAATCCCTATTGTTTTTAATTGAGCAGAAGGACAAGTCTAAATTCTGTGGTGGAATGTACTTTTTCCTCTGTGATTACCCGGCCTATCCACATGAAGCAAAGACTCACACGAAGTTCAGCATCTTCTCTATCAGCATAACTGACCAAAAGTGGATATATTTTCTCACAATAGCTTCAGTATGTGTGTGTTGTCAGCTGAAAGAATTTTAGACATGACATTAATATAGCAACAAATAATGAGGTTAGACATTGTATGTAGTTTGGATATTTCTTTCAAAATCATTGAATATTTCAGAGTTGCACATGCCCCTGCCCTCTCTCTGAAATTATTAAATCATTGAATCTAGAACATGAACGCAACCTATTGCATTTCCTAGAGTAGTATGAGTTAATCTTTTGGCGAATTATTTTTGTATTATGTGATTGCAGACAAATCCACAGATGGCTTGTTTGAGCCTCAGAACTATTAAAAAAATTATATTATGTAAAATACGCTGGAAAAAAATGTAGTTTAATTGTTCAAATGATTTTGCCTACCTAAGCTCTAATATTTTATTAACTAGATGAGCCACTTTGAAATAAAACAAATTCTAATATTATTCCACAGTATAATTGTTCTTTTCCATCTTCATGTTTCAGTCTCCTGCCAATATGTCAGTAAGCACAGAGGTATGTACAATTATTATTATGTCATACATATTGTAGTGTATATAATGACTTCATTGTAACTCTTGCTATTGTCTTTGTAGGATAGTTATGAATTAAGGAGGCATATACCGAGATCATCAACACAGCATGCTTTTGGAGCTTACGCCGCTTACAAACGTCATAGTTACACACCATCCAGGTCTCCTCAGCACTTCCACAGACCAGGTAAGAATAAAACAGTCAGATAGTATAGCTAAGCCAGACCCATAGACTTTGATGTAGCTGTTCTTAAATGTCCTTTTCTCCTTCATTATCACTGCTCCTCTTCCTCCTCACCCGCTCCTCAATAACATCTATAGGCTTGACAGTTTTCTCCTCTTTGCACTCTGGACACAATGGTCCCACTTCCCCTTTAAGTCACAGCCCTGTATCTCCTAAGAAAGGTAAGACCCCAGCCCACCTTTTCAAATGCCTCTGTAGCTTTTAATGTCCTGTTCTAGGTGTCTAGAGCCTATTAGGAGAATTGCTCAAGCATGATACACTGCTTCACTGGCTCAGATAAAGTACATAAAGCTTCATTGTAGTGGGTGATAGAGTGGAGTAGCTTGGTTCAACTGTGCCATCTAGTGGTATTACATTCTATAGACTTAAATGTACATATGTTTTTTGGGAAATAGGAGTAATGGGGAAAAAAATTGAATTAAATTTAATTTAAAGGTGCTCAGTGTAACTTTTCTGATGAAGGGCACTACATCTGCTTCTCTCCATGCAGATGGCATTTTGTTGCTTTGAAGGTTTCATGGGGTGGCATTAAACATTATCTATGTTATGTCTTATTCATGGAGATAAGCAGATTATTCTACTAGGACAAGTTACAATTCAGACCTATGGAGACTGTGTTGTGTTTTTTTTTGTTTTTTTTTACTTGATAACTGACCATTTTTCTTCATCCACAGACTATGCCTACAACATGTACTCAAGACCTCCAATATACAAGCAACATGGTAGTGTACTTTTTGTGTTATCTTTTTGAGTTATCATTTATCAATATGGATGTTTATGTATTCATTCCCAGTATACCTGGTCGCATAGTAGTCATAAATAGCACAGTACTGAGAAGCTGTAAGCAGAGGGAATGCCAAAGGGTTATATTTAGTAAACCCTGTCTATTCTTAGGGATGAGTTGTACAGCTAAATATCACTTTGTGAGCTAATCTGCGCATTTCTTTATGCCACAGATTTGAACTTGACGAACCAGACCTGCTCTCTACCAGGGTATGCACGCAACAGCCTCACTCCGGTAAGAGCTACATCACTTACAGGGCCATTAAACATCAAATTATAATTAGATCAGATTTTTAGGGTGTGTTTACATGGACAAAATAAATTGTATCACCAAAAACACATGCATCAGTTAATCGACAAATCTTTACAGTTATTTCTGTATTTGGCAGACAAAGTGCAATGAATTTTAAAATAACTCTTTCAAATCTTTGTCTTTGCCACATTAATTTGCCCTTTTGTTATAAATTTCCTTATCAAACCTAACTATGTGTGAACAGTCATAAAGAGACCTGTCACATTTAGAGCAGAAAGAAGACCAAGCTGCAGGACTACACTTGCAAAGATGTTTAATTAAAACAAAAATCTGAAGAACAAACAAACCCAAAAATCCAAACAGACGTGACATTGATAATGACAAATTAACCAACAAAGGGCAGAGGAGAACACAGGGTATATATGTACGTAAAGATGAAGATACAGGTGAGACACTTTAGGGTAGGGCAAACAGTCAATATGAAAACAGGAAGTAAAACTGAAAGCACACAGCTAGAGAAATTACAAATAACTCAGTGAAAATTAACACCATAACAAAAATCTGATTACTCACACTAGATGTACCTGTTCACGTGACATTTCAATAATCTGACAACTCGAAGAATCAGTTTTATGGTGTGTGTATAAACATAACCTTTGATTTGGTACATCATAATTTTACAGTGCTGTATATGGGTATAGCACAGTAAATGACTAAATATTAAAGCAATATTATTTTTACTACAAAGCAGTAGTAGTTGTAATAAAACTATGTAATAGTTTGTCTAATTCTAAAATGTAATCTTTTTTCTTCTTTTTCAAATTAGCTGCAAATGTCAGCCGATTACACACAGTACAATGGCATCATGAACAGAGGTAATGCCCATTCATTGTTAATGGTAAATAAAAAAATCTTATCTGTTGTTATTTTTCTTATTATTTATCCAAATTATATATATTTTTTTCTCTGTCAGATTATAAGGTAAGAGGCCACAATGTCAATAATGATCATATGCATCATCTTGCCACGACCATTTAACCCTCCAGTTCATTTGACTAACTATTATGGCTTGTGAAATTGACAACTCATCTTCCATTGCATGACTGTAGCTCATCTATGGCACTCAGCTTGCACGGATGGGCAGAGGCATGTCTTTGCCTAATTTAATGGAGCCAAAAGCAAGTATTTTTTTTCCTTTTTTGTTCTTTTGTGCAGTCCTTTTGCCAGTGTTATGCTTGGACAGTTTGCACAATGATTTCACAATAATTGACCATGACTTCATCTAATACTGTTTTTCCCCCAGATTTATCCATATGAAATACTCACAGTTACCAATAGGGGGCGAGTGAAACTTCCCAGGGATGTAGACAGGACTAGCCTTGAGGTATACTATGATGTCTGCAAAAACATATATGCACTTAAATAATATTGCTATATATTTTTTTTTTTCAGCGGCATCTGTCACCTGATACATTCTTTGAACTTTTTGGCATGGAACTCCACGAATTTGACCGGCTTCCTCTTTGGAAACGGAATGAAATGAAGAAAAAAGTGGATCTTTTCTGAATGCTGCCTTCCTTACATATGCAATATATATATACTATGATATCTTGAAAATGTCACCAACCACCACATTTATTCGTGTGTGTTTTCCACTTTATTGCTGACCTTATTGTAGGCCTATCACATTGTATGTACCTCAAAGCACAAACGAACACAAGAAACTTATAGAATAACTTTGGCATTGCACTTTGTTCATTTTTCACAATTCTGCACAAAGCAACTTTTCTTTTTAAATGTGTATTCCAGTGGCAAAGCAAACATAATCCAACATTGTTATATTTTCCAGAATAGTAAAAAGATATTTACTATTATTATATTTTTGTAATGTAGCCAGTGTTCTCTCATTTGGGCTTGGGCTACCAGAATTAGGATAAGGAGAACATAAACATTTTTATACATGTGTTATGTTAGGTAAGACCATACAGTTCACTACCCTGCAAAATGGTGTTTTACCCAATAAGGACAGCCTCCTAAATCCAAAACCACTACCTGTATAAAAAACAGTTGCACTTTTTTGCCATGTTGAATTTGAATGATGAAATAAACCTGCAGTATGACTTCAATGTTTTTTACATTTCCAGGAATCTCAATGTCTTATCTGTTCCTTACGACTGCTATTCATGGTGAGGGGTTAAGGCTGCTCTATTTCGATGTCACCTCCCCATCACTGTAAAGATAACACAACCAGGAGTGTCCTCTTAACAACAAAGTGTTCCTCTTGCAGTGAACTTACTACAATTATTACAGGAATGAAAACATGAAATCATCCAGGAGGTTAACTGTTTACTTTACTGTCACCTGTAATTAACACATAAAACTACCTTGTGTGCCAAAAATGCTAATTGCACAACTACAAGGATGTAGATTATAAAAGCTCACCATCTGTGTTCCAACAAATGAGCTTTTACATGTAATGATTTCCTTTGTCAAATATGAGAGCTCTGCAATAGATTAAGTAAATAGAAATGTATAACCAACAGATGGTGCTCTTCAGCATGTAAACATAGCACTTACAAAGACCCTCTTAACTGTTTAAAGTAACACCCTAGCTTTATGGTTGTATTTGGCTCTACAGATACATTACAGTTCATATACTTAATTGTGCATGCATGAAAATATCAGGGCCCTCCTTCATGTTGTAAATCAAATCTGCTACATACAGAATCATGAGACATTTCACACTAATAGCAGCATACATATTGTACATGGCACTGGTATGCAAAGTTAAACAGGGAAATGATAAGTCCGTAAAACAATGTCTGTTGTAATTAGACATGGGGACATAATAACATTGAGTGCACAGCTGAACAAATTCCCTTCAAACATCACTATGGTAATCAACACAAATGTCAGGATGACAACTGACACTTCTGCACCAAAAGTTTTCCTACGGGGGAGGAGGGGGTCTTTAAAGCCCACCAAGCTTGGCCCGGAGCGGTGTGTTTGGAGTTTCCTATTGGCCAGATGGAGACACGGCCTCGGAGGTGGGCGTGTCCTCGCTTCTCATTGGCTGATGACGCTTTCCTTCAGCTCTCCACTTTCTCTGAACACCTCCCCCTCTCTCCGCCAACTGGATGTCCGTCCCAGCTTGGATTTTCACGAAAACATCAGCCGCAGACTGCGTACCAGTGCCAACTGCGAGGCTGGGACGACGAGCGGGATCCAGAGGAATGGGTTCAACGGAATGACAGCCGAGTCCATGGCGTTTTCGCTCCCGGACAGCGGCGTTTGGCCTCGCGCAGCGGCGTAAACAGCGGAACAACACAAATAACTGGAATGAATGCAGCGATATCACTTGTTAGATAGAAAAGACGACGAGAGGGGACAGAGTGGACTCCCTCCGCCCCATGGAGGATGACGGGACCTTTGCAGTAAACTCCAGGCCCGGAATGTCACCTGGGAAGCGACCACAGCACTTTGGACGACGCATTTAGGGCAAAATAACAGCGCGGGACTGGGCGCGTACGACCTGACCTGCACAAGTTAGCAGAAAGTGGAAGCTACGGGACTCGTCCCCTCACACAAGATGAATATTCTCGATATAACTTAAGGCGAGGTTCTCCACAGCCTCAGGTGACAGATAGGACAGGTAACGCGCGCTGTGCAGTTATGAGCTTCGCTTTTATCTCCTCTTTTTGATTTAGTTTTATTTGGATTCGATCCATTTGGCAATAGTCTGCCTTTTTAAATTCTTTTTCACGAGTGACTCATTTTAAACCAGCCATGTCTTTGAAGGAAAATGCTTGTCGGAAATTTCAAGCAAATATTTTTAACAAAAGTAAATGCCAGAACTGTTTTAAGCCCAGAGAGTCACATTTGCTCATCGATGAAGACCTAAACCAGGTGAATATCGTTGCTCTGTTGGAGTTGCTCCACTGTCACACGGTTCATGTAGAGTTATGTTGTTGCGTCTTAAAGTCAGACATGCACATAAATAACAGCCCTCTGTCAGTGGACCATAATGCAGAGGTTGGGGTCAATTGGACATGGTTTGTAGCCTCTGGGGCTGACCTTATTTCATGGATATAGAACTCCCCACCCTCCCTCCCAGCACCTCTTATCAGCTTCTTATGTTGACTCAATTGACTTTGTGCTATTTGCGTTAACAGTCCACATTTCATCTGTTTTACTCCAATCCATGAAAGCATACTGTATATTGAGGAATTTCCACCTAGCAGATACCAGTAAAACTTAAGCAAATTACTGATTATACTGGAACATAATGACACAAATATGACCGTGTAGATACAACACTTCCTTTTTGAAATGGTAACACACCTTAAAACTGTTGTGCATACTTTTATTCCTATCTAGTGATACAAAATAAATCCTATCTGGCATGTCGGAATGAACAGACTACATGTGACACAGGAATCCTCCAATCAGTGCCTTTAAACTTTGAACCATTGAAGGGTAAAAGTGACCCAGATTTCAAGTGGTCCGGCAGTTCACCCCTGCTGTCAGATCATATAAGAATTAACTATATAGATTTTGCTGTAGCTTGACCTTAATCTATTATTTTCAGTTAAGTCATATATTTATCTATCAGGTGCACTTTACTTTTGTTACTACAGCACGTTTTTATGATTTGATTATGTCTGACTTCCTGCGACATCTCATTTGCAGAGTCATTGGGGAGATAAATACCTTGTAAGTTGTAGCATTAGAGGTTTATGCATGGTTTTATGTGGAGTGAGGTCTTGAGTGGAATCACAGCTGCTGATAGTGCTATGCGAAGGTGCCAGGTGGTTGTAAATGTCAACGCTTTGGACTAGATTTGAACTGCAAGCTAATTATGCAAAATATGTTTTCACAGTCTAAGTTGTGACTGAATGCTTGAGTGTACATAGTAAAGCAGAAATCCCTAACAGTGTGCTATGGCAGCTGTCCAAGTTTGTACCAGAACTATTTAAGAAAGTACCAGTCCAAGTCTCATGTTTGAATTGCAAATGTGTGGCCACAAAAGCTCCTATGCTGCAGCTTCCTTACTTGATTTTTTCATCTGCTATTTTTCTTGCTGGCTTCTGCCTTTTGGTGCCCCCCTCCACCCACCAGTCCACCCACTTAGAGGATCAGAGGGAAAATCATGTGTTTTGGCCTTTCCTCTCTTTCTGTGGCAGCATGGTGCACTGGAAGAGAGCCAAATGCAGGGGAATGTAGCCTACAGACGACTCATGGCTCACGGTGTAGTGGTTGGACTAATACTGTGCACTTATTGTGTGTAACGAGGGTTGTTATTGCTATATTTTGCAGAACCAGGAAGTAGACTGCACCATCTCCAGTGACATGATTAAAAATGCATGATTGCACTGTATATTGATGCATTTATGTCCCACTTAACATATTGTAAATGTTTGTACTCTGCCAGGCAAAGCCGATATACGGAGGATGGCTGCTGCTAGCACCAGAGGGAACTAACTTTGACAATCCATTGCACAGATCTCGGGTAAGTGGACTTTAAAATATAAATGATTTATTTGGCAAATAACATTATGTGACTCACACCTCTCTGAAATAATGATTTTTGTGATAATATAAGTGTTTTCAGCTTTTCACTCGGATGAAGTTTGAGATTAAAAGGGTGAAAGAGAGAGAGTAATGACCAAAAGTACACTGACCTTAGTTGGATTCAAAGCCAGAAAGCATAACATGGAAGTTGTTAATTCATCTTCCTAATATGGTTTTGTTGACTATATAAACATCGTGCATCTTGTGTAGAACATTCACTTAAAGTTGTACTTGAATTTGGTGCATAATTACTTTTTTTTTTTACTTTTTTTCCCCTTCATTAATTATTATGCATCTTCACATGGCACCATAGCCCAAGGAGAATTTGTGTTTCAGGGACAGTCAGGTTTTCTTTACTTACCTTCTTCTGCTCCTAATCCCTAACCACCATCAATCACACTCTCGCTCTGACATTTAAATACACACAGGTTGGGCCAAGTGTCTTGCCTAAGGACATAACAACTGGGATTGACCTTCCAACTTTTGCTTTAAGAGTGCAATGGAAATTGTGATTCCCTTTTTTATGTAGATCATTTTTAGACTGAATTTTACAGCGATAACCTTCCAAGTTAGTAAAAGTTAGTAACAAAAGGACAGTCTCCTCTCTTGTTTTAAAAGGTCCTATATTACGCAAATTTTTTTCCCGTGAGGTTAAAGTCATATTAGAACCAGGCTACCTCATCAAAAACATACCTAGAGTTGTTTTTTGTTTCGTTCACACATGCTCGAGTAATCCTTTTATTATTAGTCTGTTTACATCTCCAAAGCTCAAAATGCTCTCTTCTAACTTGTGATGTCATTTAGTGGAAGTTTCCAAGTTAACAGGTGCCTTTTACCTTTAGTTCAGTAGAGACAGAGTTTGTCTTTAAAAACACAGTGGAGCACTTCCTGTATTACGACATGACATCACAAGGTGGAAAGAATGTTTTCTGTTTGAGAGAAGAACTCTATTCACAATGTTTTGATGAGGAATCACAAAATTCAAACATGTATTAGCCATGTCCTGAATACAGCAACTATTTTATTATTTCAGAGCCAGCAGAAGCATCTCTCGGACTTGATAATCCCCATTTTCCACTTGACGATTTCCTCTCCCCTAGCGCCGCATAACAGGACACTTGCTCACTTCCCACTTATCTGTTTCCTGACTGTAATGTGCTGTTGCATCCCAAAAAAGGGGGGAGCATCCCAAAAAAAAAAAATTGTGGGGGAGGTGTAGGAACAGTCCCAGTTCACACAGCCGCCCTGATGGTTTCCATATGGACATGTGTGTGCGTTTGTGTGTGTGGAGGAGGGGAGGGGGGGCAACTCGGGATCCTTCAACCCAACTACTGTCAACAGACTGCAGCAGCTTTGACATCATCACATGAGAGCGCGGCCCATTCTTCCAATCAGCTTGTGGTCGTATAATTAGTGGTCCCATCGCAGAGCTGGGGCGAAGCTTCGACTGACCAGTACACATAAATAATATAGCTGTCACATTAAATGAGTCATATTTTAGCAACACTTTGGTTTAGCAGGTTATACATTACGACCACTCCAAATCACAAAACATGCTATTATAGCAATGGTGCATTATGTAAAGGCCTTTTCTCATGGCCTGTGAAGCTTATCAGCAACCTTCTGAGACCTTTTATGTGGTTTTAATGTTACAAAGCACCTTTTAATATTTGATGTAGCTCTCCCCATTGAAGGAAATGTTACACTGAGGCTAAAAGGTGTATTTGGCATGGACCCGAGCCAGCCAATCAGACGAGAGAATAGCGGGAAGATGTCAGAGTATCATTTGCACTAAAATCAATATACAACAACTGGAGGAAGAAGCGATACGTATGTCTTATATGTGACCTTGCTCATGATGAGTTCCTAACATAATTTATGATATTATGATTGTGTAGGCTCATTGTCTTCCTTTACAAAGAACATACACAATGAAATGTAGGATTTATTGACTGTTGTAAGCCATGAAATGCAGTCCATCTAGCTTCACAGCCTCATCATGTAGTCTGTGCTGAGTTTGTGCCAGAAGAGATGCCAAGTGTTTTCCAAAGGCGTGCATCCCCTTGAGAGAGTATTAACATAGTGTTTATACGTCTAACATGGCATCACTCGGATCAAATTGCGATGTCTCCTATATAAATATTTCCACATTTCCTTCGTGTGACCTCACCCATAATAAAATATACACACGTTTTACGGCTGTAGCTATAACTGATACGATTCATATGCCTAACTGTTTTCTTCTTTTGTCCAACACAGAAATGGCAGCGGCGGTTTTTCATCCTTTATGAGCACGGTGTACTGCGCTATGCTTTGGACGAGATGGTGAGTTCGAAATAAAAGTGTATCTTATCCTAAAAGGGGACATATTATGTAAAAAATACTTTTATAAGCTTGTAATCATGTAACATATGTAAGTGTTCCATCTTTGAGTAATTCTGAATTGGAGGCTTTTCACTTACTCCCTGACTTCTCCCACTGCTTTGTACTTACTTGTGATTATCAAAGAAAAGTAAGTCATAAATGTAAGGTTAAAAAAGTTACATAGGCATATTCAGCAATAAAAACATGTAAATTAAAACCCGCTGCTCGCTATTGTGAAATTCCACTGTGATGCTGGCCCTCTCACTACTGCAGTTTTGTACAGGAAGTCACAGGTGCACTACATGTACGCTGAAAGATACTACCTTCATTACTGTCCTTCATGCTTTCATTGGCAAATATGTTAAACTAGACTATTTAAATGACGCTAGCAGTGTAAACACCAATGAAGAGAGTCATGTGCTGAGTTCCCTGTTTGCTTTCGTTGAGCAAGATCCCCTACCAACTTCCTGTTACTAAATGAAAAACTGGAAAAACCACTTGATGCTAGTATAGAGTGGTATCTACAGAGATAATTATTTGTGTTACAGCCTGAGGTCAAATATCTTTCACCTCATTTAAGTAATATTACAGTATTTCTTTGATTGGTGATTGACAAACTCATTTGTTGACTTTTGATAGTGTGAAATGGGGGTGAAGAATGAGGAGTGTTATTCAAAAAATTGTCACTGGTGGGAAATCAACTACGATATGCTAACTACAGTTACAGTACAGAAACACTTCTTAAGAAATTACAGTCAGTGCCTTACTTAAGTATTGACTGTAGTGCTTTATCCTAAGAGATCAACATGTATTTAGTAACCAGGTTTACGTTAAGCTACATTACGTTAAGTTACATTGGGAAAGATCAGCATGAGGCTATTGCACTTGCCTGCGATCCAGACATGATTGACTTGGTGGATGGTCCATATCAAAACAAATATGGCTGCTTATGTAAGAAAAAGAAAGAAAAACATATCACATGGGACTGAAAAACATTTCAGATGTCTGCAGAATCAGTGATCAAACACAAAACACTAAACTGTGTTAATCTGTTAATCATGTTTGGTTGGGTTTGAGACACGACAGAGGGTGTGGGGGACCAAACTGATATCCATCTGTATAAAAAAATACACAGAGAGATCATTCTCCAGGCAACAGTTTGTACTGTATTCAAGGAAAAAAACAAACATATAGCCAAATCAGGGATGTAACGATATCATATAGTGTTTATTGCAAGAAAAGACCACTATTTAAAGTTAATGTGACATATAAAAACACTTGCACTTGCACTTGTTTCTTAGGACTATTTTTCAGTTCTATTAGTTATATATGTGATGTGTGACATTTATCTAATAGTTTTTACATCCCCAAAACAAAAACGTCTACTTGATACAATCTTTTTTTTGTCTTTGTAGTTTTATCATGTCTCCTGGTAAACGTTTGTTTACAGACGTTGGTAAAAATGATACTTGGGGAGTGATTCTGATTGGAAATGTTAGACAATGACAGAACGCGGATGTACTCTCTGCATGTGTCACTCTTCATCTATTCATCGTCTTTGTGAATAGAGGATCAAAAGGAGAATTGCAAGGGTCTGACAGAGGAGCCATCAAGTGCCACTAAATATAGATTATTTCCTGTCACCCCTAGCACAGTAGAATAATTACTAGGTGTTGAATAAACAGCTTTTGAAACACAATTGCTTTGAATAACAACAGAGATGCATGTCATTTGTAATCTTAAAAATTCATCATGGAAATTAACCAAACCATAACTCCATATATGGCTTGCACCGTTTAATAGTCAGGCTTGCTATTTGCGTCAGCCCGAGCAGCAAAGACAAATCAGAATTAGTTATTTTGGTGACATGGGGTCAGAAATGAATGCTGCCAGGTTTTGATGCATACTGTTGCTGGTGACCACATGATAGGAGGGTCGAGATGTCTGGTTTGAGGTTGCTTTGGGCCTGAATGAAGTGGCAATGCCCCCTTTGGTTTTTCCTCTCACTACTTTTACGGCTCTTATGTCTTGAATCTAACCAAACCCAGATGGCTGTGGTTCCAACCTGCAGGATGTGGCACTGCTGAAGCCTGGGACACATCACAATTCTTTTGAGCTATTGATTTAGGGGTGCCCACCTACTGTGAACACCAAACATGAGTGCTTAAGGGAGATCTACTGGGGGCCTTGGTGGCTTTGAAGACAGAGAAAATGTAGTCACTGCAAAAGGACAGAGACGGAATATGTGAAGAATGTACTAGTGCTGAACTATTTTGAAGTAATCACTAACTCTCTCAGTGTTGCAATCACCGTTAGATATGTGTTGTTGTTTTTTTAAGATTATCTCAATATTGCATATTTTTTTACTTAAAGGGCCCATATTATGCTATTTTCTGATTTATGTTCTAATGTTTCCTCCTCAAAACATGTGTTTTGTTTTTGTTTTCTGCACACATGGTTAAACACACAAATCCTGCATATTTAGGCTGAGCTTCTCTCTCAAACCAAAAACACTTGATTCTACCTTCTGACATCATGTGGTAATACAGGAAGTGCTCCAATGTGCTTTTTAATATCCACATAGCTTCAGTAGAATCATTTGGATGTTTTTAGATCTGGAATGGAATCTCTACTGAACTAAAGGTAAAAGGTAACTGTTAACTTGAAAACTACTACTATATGACCACACAAGGTGGAGCAGAGCATTCTGTGCTTTGGAGATGTAGACAGACTAAGAGTAAAGGATTACTTGAACATGTGTGAATGAAACAAAACTCAATCCTGGGTATGTTTTTGAGGACGTAACAACATTGTAACATGGCTTAAAGATCACAAGAGTCAATTTTGTGTAATATAGGACCTTTTAATCAAGATTTTGTCAATAGTATGTCTGGGCACTATTTAAAGGTAGTAGTGCAGTACCAAATGAAAAGGTTAACGTACTACTGCAACCGAAAACTTGTTATCAAAAGAAAAAGTATTGTTTTGGTACAAGTTTTGGTGCCTGGGAGAGCAGTAGAAAGTTACAAGGCACTACAAATGAACAATAAAAACAACTGCTTTTCTCCAAAGACAATACAATTAGATTCATGAACATTGTAGTTACCAAAACAAGTATGGCACTGGAACTAAAACTGTTGTTTAGTATTATTCACGTAGTCGTATGAGAAAAAAATTACTCAGGTTATCTGGTTTTGCACATAGACCATTTGGGTACAGGTGATGCTCCATATCATTCAGTTTCAATACAATTCATATTCTATCTCAAACTTGCTATGTACCATATGTGATGAGGATCAAAATTCTTGTTTAAGTTTGGTTCATGTCTTTGTAAAGAAAGCTGCCTTGTGGTGAATCATTGCTGTTTCACCTTTGTCTGATTTTGTGTGTTTTTAGATGATAAAAAGGCAAACACATGATTGCAGTTTTCTATTAGTTCAGCATGTCCTCTATTTGCGAAAGTACAAGCTGGATTCTCCCAGAGCAGCCCAGCACAGTTATTTCAGGGGAGCGTTGCCAGGGCGACATGTTTTGTTCCTTTGTCCGTCGACAGTTGACCGTGGCATGAGAAACATGGGGCAGAGTTACTCCCCGTAGTCAGGACAGGACTTGGCTCATGTCTACCCAAATGTAGGGATGGGATGGGGACAGAACGTACTGGAAGTAGTGGTGAGTGGGTTCTGGTGGTCTCTAGTATGGAGCTCAGTGTGCTATGCAGCAGCTGGAGAGAAACACGCCAGCATTCACACTGTTAAATTGTACTGGTAATGCTGAGCTCTGCAGGATCCTCTGTGTTGGTGAATTTGTGTAGTCTGAGGCTGGATGACGTGGGCCAGGTCAGGGGCAGGTTCAGTGAGCTTTGTCAAGAAAGAAGAATTTTCATTACTACAATATTTTGGAAATTAAATGGGGACTGATGTTTGTTGTGACACTTCATTACATAATACATAGGAGTGCCACTGTACAACTATGTATCAAAATGTATGTAATGTTATAAGATATATAGTAGGGACATCCAGTGATGCAGATTTCACACACAATGTACATTGCATAGATAATGGATGATAAAATGTATATATCTAGGGTTTTGTGATATGAGCTTGTGAGAATCACAAGAGAATACTGTTTGATGCTCAAACATTGAAGGATTGGAAAAAAGATGAAATCATGATCTCAGGAAGGCTCCTATAAAATCATAATATGATTTTAATATGACTTTTTGGCATGCTCCCCCTATCTCTGTGTATCTGTTTTACTTTTAACTTAAGTCTTTTTATTTCACATTTATCTTGCTAACTGTTCTTTTTAGGCTGAGTTCTTCCCTGTTCCACCTGATGTCATGTGATAATACAGGAAGTGTTCCACTGTGTATTATACACCTTCACTAGAATCATTTGGATGATTTTAGATCTGGAATTGCCAACCTATACTGAACAAAAGGTAAAAGGTAGCTTAACACGAAAACTACAGCTTTATGACATCACAAGGCAATAATAAAGGATTACTCAACCATGTGTGACTGAAGCAAAACACAACTCCAGATACATTGCAGTGACAAAGACATTTGCCTAATCCAGGTGCTTTGCGTCATCACAAAATAGAATGGCACAGGATGGGCCTAGCTGGTCAAAATGGCCTAGTAATCCCTCATACACTGTTAAACTAAGATACCAATAGAACCCTGCAAGTTCAAATAAACATGCAGGCTGTATAATGAAAATAAAACTTGTTTTGTGGACTTTATCATTCATATTTACACAACTGCTCCTTAAGATGAGAACTAATCAGAATGGCTGACCTATTTGCAGATGGGTTGTGTATGATTGAGTAGTTAATTAAACTAAGTACTGTTGGCACGCACATACCAGAATCTATTAGCACCTGGTTGGGAGGACATGTGGGAGGCAGTGGCTAAAGCTGCGTTAGTGACAGGAGTGGAAATGCTCACCACCCACTTGCTA